CCTGAAGGTAAACTGCAATGATGAGGGTGTCAGTCTCTCTTCTCACGTAACGAGTGATGGAGGCAAGGATGTGGTTTCAAATTGTGCCAGGGGAGGTTTAGGTTGGACACTGGAAAGAATTTATTTATGGAGACAGTGGTGGGTCATTGGAATGGGCTTCCCAGGGGATCGGTGGAGTCACCATCCCTGGAGGCATTCTGTAGATGAGGTACTAAGGGACATGATTTAGTGATGGGGCTTGGTGAGCCAGGTTGATGGTTGGACTTGATCTTGAAGAGCTTTTCTAACCTGGAAGATTCTGCAATTCTATGGCACATCCCTTGAAGCTCTGCTTATTCACCACTGCTGGAAACCAGCGTTGTCTTCAATAGTTGTCCCAGCAAGGCTGAAAGGCTGAGTCACAGGAGATCTCCGGAAGGATGGACCCAGGGAAAAGACAGAAAGAGGAACTGTGAATGCTGGGAGAAAACAGCTGACCACACATGAAGCTGGATTTGGAGTCAGCCACAGAGGTGGGGATGTAACCATCAGCGTGAGGATATTCCTCACAGATCCATCCTTCCCGTGGCTACTTGCAGACTCCAGCATTGCTAGGCTGACACACATTGAGCAGGGAGGCAGCAGCTCATTAACACAGGCATGATGTAGAATGATACCTACTTCTCAGCTTCAAGTGGTGAGGGGTCTTTCAAGAACAGAATTCCAGCATTTTTCTGCCTCAAGACTCACTGTAGCAGTGCTTTTTTTGGCAGCAATGCCTACCATAATAGGCAGCTGAAACACCTCTAAAATACATGTGGACAAAATGCCCATCCACTGCTTCCATGAGGAATTACTGCCATCCAGGCAGAGAAAACTGCAAACGTATAGCTAAGACACCAACAAGGGCAGTGCATGGTGCTGCGATAGCGGAGTACTAACTAAACAGAAAGATCAGGAGTTATTATTAGAGTTATAAGAGACAGAAAGGACGTGACTCACAACTCAAACCCTGTTGTTCCAAGCCCAGATCATAACATGATTATTTTATCAGATAAACTAAAAAAGCAGAAGCCAGGGTGAACTCTAAGGGTGAAATACCTAACCATGCAAAAACCCAACTCTTCTGACACTGTGGTTATTTACGTGGCTGTTCAAACTCTTCACTGAAAACTCAGCTCCTCACTGGCACATGTAGCTAGCATTCATCATCAGCCTTTGGGGTTTTGGGAAGACAACAGACACATGTCAAAGCTAGGGACAGGATCCAGGGCACGTTTGGTGCCCATCCTGAAGTCTTTCCAGTGTGGTCTATGAAAACTTGGTAATAACTGTAAGATGAAAGTCTGCTCCTTTCTGTGTGTGCCTTGCTGGGAATGGGCCCAATGGAAAATGCCAAAAGAGAAAATGGGAATTGCAGCAGAGTGGGAAAGAGATAAAATCCAAGCATGAAAGCATTTTTTCCTTTTATGATCGCTGCTGCTACTTCTTTTAATTTTGTTCTTTTAGCACTTCAGGGCCTCCTAGAGTGTATATGGATGATATAGTGTGTATAGAGCACATAGTGCATAGAGCAGCCAGCAGACCAGCACCAGTCACTGCTGGTCTGTCTAAAGCTGCATTAAGCAACGGGCACAGCCATTTGCTGTCATCATCAGTGTCAGTATCCTAGGAGATCAGATCCTGCATAATTGCATCCCGATAAATGAGTACTTTGTGTTCATAGCAAAAACATTTTCAAAATTAATGTAACTGAGAGATTGCTCATGTCGACGTACGTGTTTCAAACCATTTGGAATGTCATACAGAAACATTTTATTTCAGGTCTTAAGTTAACACCCATCCACATTTTCAAGTAATAACTTTCACAGGCATAATCATCCTGTCATTACAGAACCAAATTTCACAGTCTGTGTCAAGGCCTGAGGAGGAAAAGCAGAGCCTGGATTTTCCAGGTTGATCTTTTGGTAAGAATAATTCCAGGTAAACACAAGTAGAAGCACCCAGCTGCACCCAATGGAGCGCCATTTCAGAACAGAATCAATCTGTTTACAGTAAATGTATTCCAGGACCCCAGGGCCATCTCAGTGTGTAAAAACACATTTACACACTGTGTAAATACATTTACAGATGAGAAACTGAGTTGTGAACATCCAATCTTCCTTCCCCTGTCAGCATAACCCGCTTTTGCTGTGGTGCCTAATCTTCAAAGTCCCAGTAGCACCCGAAGAGTTTCCTTTCTTCTTGATAGGAATATTATGGTTAGATATAAGGAAAAATTGCTTCTCAGAAAGAGTGGCAATGCATTGGCTGCCCAGGAGGTGGTGGAGTCACCGTCCCTGGAGGTGTTGAAGAGATGTGGCCCTGGGGGATGTGGTTAGTGAGCACGGTGGGGATGGTTTGGGGTTGGACTCGATGGTCTTAGGGGTCTTTTCTAACCTTAGCAGTTCTGTGATTCCATGAAATACTTCAAGATAAAAATATAATGGAAAATGATTTGCTGAAAGATGGTCAAACTCCTTTTGTGGATTTGCAAATGCTATTCCTGTTGCAGTCACAAAGGACCAGGCATTTCAGATGCTAAAATGTTTAAGTAACTTTCAAAAACCACCCATCAAAATAGCTGGAGATAGAAAGTTGAAAATTGGTGTGTTCTGACATTTGCTCTAGCAGAGGTGCCCACGCTCTTCCTACAGCAAAATGACTTTAATTTGCCCAACACCAGGGTCCTTGAAAATGACACTCTGAGCATTTGCCGTAATGATTTCTCACTAAATTAGAAAAATGCCCAACTAAGGAGGGATTATCTCTGCATGTGGATGTGGCATAATGACTGTCAAGTGCACTGAGAGCCCCCGTGGGCTTTGCAGGGGACATGGGGTCTGCAGCAGAGGCCGGCGCGTATCAGAGAATATTAATATTGCCTTGTTGGGGGCATCCATAGTGACCCTTCACTGCTGTTCAGACAAAATTACACCATATGGGGGAATTCTCGTTGCTGCTTTACATATACAAGATGTCTTTTAGGCTGAGGATTATCCCCAAACTCAGTCTGTGAAAGATGCAGATGTGTGTGCACGCTCCCCATGCTGTGTGTGCCATGGGGACAATGTTGCAGCCTGCACCCCCTGTGCCTGTGGTGCATGGGGAGAAGTGAAGATCTGGGGGGGATGTGCTGCCAAATGGGGATTCTGAGTTTCCACATCACAGCCACAATAGCAGTTTAATAGCAACACTGAATGCCCAGTGCTGGTGTTCCTCCCATTCCAGTTGGCAGCCAGCTGGCTGCAAACCATGCCAGGGGGGCACAAGGAGCATGCACAAGCCTCCATGCATGGATGTTTATTGACTGCGATGCCAGCCCCCTGTAAGCCCACATTGGACTGCTGCTGTCTCTATTTTGCAATGACTCGTCCAAACAAGGCTGGTTAGTGTGGGCAGGGAGTGGGATGAGGGCTGGAAGGGCTGCAGGGCCCTGCTGAGCCAATTGGCTGGGGGGTTCGCAGTCTGGAGCTGGGCCACTATGGAGGGCAAACAGGGGACACCGTGGGGCCAGGATAGCATGAGGCTGACTGCCTCCTGCAATGAGGTCAGGTCCTCACCCCATGGGGATTTTTCATCCCTCATCCACAAAGGGATGTACAAACAGCCACAGGGAAAGGAGCCAAAGTGATGCTATGCAGCACAGAAGTGAGCAGACACTACCCAGGAAGGCCCCTGAAGTACTCCATGGCCATGGTCATCACAGCGGGACGGAGGGTGAAGTGCCCCTTTGGTGGCTGAGACGTGAGGCTCTCTGGGCAGTGGCACTGCACTCAGCCCGTGTGCACGGCTTGTGGGCTCTTTCTGCGGGGATTTTTGGGGGTCTTCAGGCAGGGGTGACCCAGGGCCTGGTAGGGATAGGAGGTACCCAGACATCGGAGCCGCTTCCAGACGGCCCGGGGCTGAGGGACACAGAACCGGCGACCTGAGAGCACGTCCCCATGAGCCAAGTGGAGCGCATTTCTGCACGCAGCTGAACGGAGCTGCTCCCTCCGCGCACGGCTCAGGGACCCGACGGCACCGAGCCTAGGAGGTACGCCCGATCCCCCCGTCACGTCCAGAGGAGGGGGAGCATCGCCACCGGTGCCCCGCCGTTGTCACTTCCCGGCTGCTTTTCAGCGGGGAATATTTTATTATGACGGCACTCTCCGCCGGGCTGCGGCTTTGCGAGGAGATTCCCGGGATTCTCCAAACCGGCGAGGTGTCGGACAAGGAGTTCCCCGCACCCCGTACCTTCAACTTTCGGAGAGCAGTCCCCACGGGCAGCGGAGGGCGACTCCCGATGCCCACCTCGGTGCCCGTCCCGATGCCGAGCTCCGTCCGTCGGATAGGGAGAGAAAATGCCCCGGGGTGTACCGGAACCCGGAGCGCGGCAGCGTACGGCTCTGTGTGAGGAAATAAACCACCAGCGGAGCCTTTATTGACATCGTCGTCATTATTAACATCGCCATCATCGTTTCTCAGCACATAAATAAATAAATAAATATCTCCCGGGGAGGGATGGTGATGGGGACGGGGACGGGGCGGTACAGCCATAGCTGCGCGCCCACCAGCGACAATGTCAAAACAGAACAAACAAACAAATAAACAAAAGAGTACAGTTTGGTAGGAGAAAAAAAAAAGAAAAAAAAGAAAAAAAAAAAAAAGCCAATATTATGACAATTACCCAAACAGCCCCGACCCTCCCCAGCCGCCCGCTCTCGCCCCGCGCTGCGCTCTCTGCCCTCCGGTCCGGCTCTGCCTGCGGAGGCTGCGGGAACCCCCGGCCTCGGGTGGGAAAGCGAGACGTGGGACGCCGGGAATCCCGAGGAGCGCTTTATTGGCAGCGGGACACCCGCACGGCCGCCGCTACGCGTCGGGGGTGTGGAAAGGCGAGAAAGTCTTTCGTAAACGACACGGATTATACAAAACGGTAGAAAATCAACCGGCTGCACGGAACCCCCCCTCCGCTCCCGGCACAGTCCCTGCGGAGCCGGGGGTCAGGGGGTGGCGGCGAGGCCTCTGTCGTCCTTCCCCGAAGAGGACGGAGACATGCGCAAGTCCTCGTCGTCCTCCGAGCACTTGGTGGTGGAAAGGGCCGAGCATTTGCAACTGTGCCCGGGCCCCCCTCCCCGGTGGGATCCGCTTTTGCCTTCTTTCTTGTGTTTGACCCGGCGGTTCTGGAACCATATCTTCACCTGCTTCTCGGAGAGGTTCAGGTAGGTGGCGATCTCGATTCGCCGCAGCCGGGAGAGGTACATGTTGGAGGCGAACTCCCTCTCCAGCTCCAGAAGCTGCGTGCTGGTGAAAGCGGTGCGCATCCTTTTGCTGCTGGGCAGTTGGCTCGATGTGCTGTCTGCGGAGCGGAGCGGAGCTCAGCACCCACCGCACCCTCCTCACTCCCCGGGGAAGGCCACGGGGGCCGCCCCCCTCCCGCTTCCCTCCGCCCGCATACCCCGCGCACCCAGCGGGGTGCGGCGCCTGTCCGCCCCGTCGAGCCTCTATCCTCACGCCTCTCCCCCCCGGCCTCCCTCCGCATGCTGCGCCCACGCGTGCCCCTTACCCACGGAGATGCAGTGGAACTGCCGGGGGTCGGGCAGCGGGTAGGCGCCCTGGTAGAGCGCCGGGCCGTGCCCCACGCTGACGGCGGACACGGAGTGCTGCTGACGGCCGAGGGGCGGGTGGCAGTACTGGGAGCCGAACGGGGGGAAGGAGGCCTTGAGCAGGGGGATGGCGGGCGGCGGCGGGTGCAGCTGCGAGGCGGTGACGCACAGCGGACACACGCACAGCAGCCCGGCTTTGCGCGCGTGGCAGGAGCCGGCCGGCAGCCCGGGCAGCGGGTGCGAGGGGTGCACGGCGTAGGGGAAGAGCGGCGGCGGGGGGCTGCTCTCGCCCTTCTTCTCGCCCGCCTCCCGCAGCACCAGCGAGTCCACCAGGAAGGAGCGCGGCATCGCCCCGCGCAGCCCCCGCGCAGCGCCCGCGCAGCCCCCGCGCAGCGCCGCTGGCCAGCCCGAGTGGTGCTGAACGGCGCCCGCCCGCCTTAAATAGCGGCCGCGCCATGTGATGGCGGCGCCGGGCGCTCAATGGGCTTTCTGTGCCGCTTCTCTTGGCATTCACGCCGCACGCTCCCTCATTATTTCCCTTGTTAACTAAATGAACTGCATAATGTACTCTATTCTTGTCGACCCCACCCACGCCGTAGCAGGCGGCCTCTCCCCTCCTCTCCCTTTGGCGGGGTTATTTTCTCATTCTCTCGCGATTTAATATTCTTTTCTTTCTCTTTATCGCTCTCCTTCTCTTTCAGCCCAGCTCTCGGCCCGCTCCCCCTCGGTTATTTGCCGGCCGCGCCGCTCCCCCGCCGCTCCCCGGCTCCTCTCCCACCTGTGGCACCGCCGAGCTCCTCACGGCCCCGCGCGGCCCCTGTCCGCTCCCGGAGACAGCACCGCGAGCCGCGCCGCGTTCCGGGCACAACCGGCAAAAAGGCTTTTTGCGGCCGACGGGTTAGGGGGTGAAGGAGAGACACTAAATGAGGAAAAAGGACTCATCGGAGCGTTTTTTGCTCCCCATCTTCCTGTTTAATACTGTGGGGACAAAAAAAGAAAAAGAAAAAGAAAAAGAAAAAGAAAAAGAAAAAGAAAAA